GAATGCACTTCATGCCCCTGAATTGTACACTTCAATAGTTAAAATGGTAAATTTTGTGTTGTAGAGATATTTGACCACAACTTAAAAAAGAAACGAGGGGCAGCTGGGTGGTGCACTCAGTTGAGAATCAGACTCTTGGTTTCTGCTCAGGAATTGATCTCCTCTAGTCCTGAGATGGAGCCCCACATTGGGCTCCACACTGAGTGCAGAATCTGCTCCAGATTCTCTCCCTCCGCCCCTTCCCCACCCTCATTCTCATGGGCCCGCTCACACTCTCACTATCTCTAAAATGAATAAATAAAATCTTTTTTTTAAAAACGATTTTATTTCTTTATTTGACAGACAGAGATCACAAGTAGGCAGAGATGCAGGCAGAGAGAGAGGCGGAAGCAGGCTCCCCACTGAGCAGAGATTCCCAACGCGGGGCTCAATCCCAAGACCCTGAGATCATGACCAGAGATGACGGCAGACACTTTAACCCAGGTGAACCACTGAACCACCCAGGTGCCCCTAAATAAATCTTAAAAAATGAAAGAAAGTGCTGACACATGCTACAACATGGATCAACCTTGAAAACATTGTGCTAGGTGAAAAAAGCTGATTGCAGAGGATCACTTATTAATATGGTTTTATTTATATTCAATGTCCAGAATAGGCGAATGCACAGAAATAGGGTATAGATTAGTGGTTGCCAGGGGCTAGAGAGAGGGGGAAGAGGAGGGAACTGCTGATAATAAGTATAGGGTTTCTTTTTGGGTGATGAAACGTTCTGAAGTTGCGTAGTGGTAATGGCGGTCCGGCTTTGCCAATATACAAAGAAACGCTGAACCGTATACTTTAAACGGTGAATACTAAGGTGTGCGAGTTGTATCACAATTTTCAAAAGCATGAGGGCTACATGGTATTTCATACAGTGCTTATATGCCAGTTTATTCAGTCATTCCCCAGTTGATGCCCATCTGGGTTGTGTTTCAGTTTTTTTTTCCTATTTGAAACAATGCAGCAGTGAAAATCCTTGAACATGTGAAAAAAAAAAGAGAGAGAGAGAGAGAGAAAGAGAGAGAATATTTAGGCAGATCTTGGGCTCTCCCAGGCTGCCTCATATCTGGGCATATCTCTATGTGAGTCTGATTTAGAAAGTGTCACTTCCTCTGACACCAAGGCATGGTGCAGGGAAGAAGCTTTCACCCTCTTCTCCAAGCACTTTCTCAGAAGAAAAGACTTTGAGATGACCGTCATTTTGCTTTCTTCTATCATTCGAAGACCTATTATAAATTATATCAGCCCCATGTTACCCTGAAGGGACAACCCGAAGTGGGGGGACTTATGGTTTAGATCAGGGGTTGGCCTGTTTTTGTACCAGCTAAGAATGGATTTTACAGATGCACATTTGTGACTGATTTGATGATAGGAGACACTAGCTTTGAGCTCAAATTAAGCAAAATCTTATTCTCTGTTGCCCGCCCCCTGAAATTCCGTTTTTTTTTTTCCTTAGCAGACTTGTACTACCAAAAGCTTATACTCAATTACTATTGTTGTATTTTGAATTTTTTAAAAAATTTTATTTAATTATTTGACAGACAGAGATCACAAGTAGGCAGAGACGCAGGCAGAGAGAGAGAGAGAGGGAGGCAGGCTCCCCTGCTGAGCAGAGAGCCCGATGCAGGGCTCTATCCCAGGACCCCCGGGACCATGACCCGAGCAGAAAGCAGAGTCTTTAACCCACTGAGCTACCCAGGTGCCCTGTGTATTTTGAATTTTATCAATAAAAAAATTTGTGGAAATTTTCTCTCATTTTATAACCACCCCTATAATATCCTCTTTTTTGCCTCTTGGCCCACGAAGCCTAAAACATTCGCTATCAGGCCCTTTGTGGAAAGTTTGCCAATCTCGGTTCTACACTCCAGAGAGATATCGGAAATAAATATTGTAAAGAAAAGCACTGTATAAAGATGGAATGGCCCCAAGCTACAATTACCTCTCAAAAATAACACAGCCTGGGAATGACAGAAATTTCAATCAAATTATCCAGGTCACAAAACGTTCTGCTGATTTAGTTTAGAGAAGTTAAGGGGAAAGAAAAAACACCGTTTATATCTTCTATAATAGGAAAGGAAAATGAATAGGAGATAGGGAAATGAAACGAATAGGAAATTATTCATGTATTTTTTGAGTTGGTGATGATAAAAATAATTATATAACAATAAGGACGTAGATACGTATTGACTATGTAAAATATACTTATGTATTCCAGCCCTGAATAAGCATTTTATATAAAAGATCTCATTTAATCCTCATAAAAACCCTGCAAGGTTGAAGTCAAGGTCATCCCCTGATACCAACTCCTGTCTGCCAGCAGCAAAAAATGGTACTTTGTCCAGAAAAAAAGAAGCAGCTGGAGACTAGCTGGCAAAGGGCCTTGAATGCTGTGCTGGGAAATAGCCTATATTCTGTTTCTTTTTACCAGGTTACTCTGTAGACCCGAAGGCCCTCAAGAATTTCCAGAAGGGGGGAAGGGTCAATTCTGTGTTTTGGGATGATAACAAGGATGGCTTTGGGAGATAACTCTTGAGGCCAAGAGGCCAGAGAGAAACTTTTTCAACAGTCCAAGGAAGAACGAGTGAGGGCCTGGGATGGTGCACGCAGAGAAAAGAATTCCAGACACACTTCTTTTTCCGATTGGCCAATAGGTTGACAAAATGTACATGGGGGCTGGGGAACAGGCAGTCAAAGGCAACTTCAAAGTTTCTGGTGGCAAAATGGGAGAACCCAGATAAGAAGTTTGTGGTAGGAGAAGGAGTAGGGAGATACTTAAAATTCCTGGGTAGTATCTAGGGAGGTTGTATAGGACAATCGGAAATGTGTGTCCAGAAGTTCAGAAAGACATCTGATCAAGAGAGAGAGACTTGGAACCATGAGGAAATGGCTGCCTTTCAGATGGGGTTCGAGAAGGAAGGGACAAAGGAAAAGATGGGAGAGAAAGGAAATGTTAGTAAAAACTAACCTTTTTAAGAGTTGAGCATGGGGCAACTGAGAAGGAAGGGGGGGGGTGTATAGGACATGCAAGACCCAGTGGTATTATCCCGAAAAGAGTTTCAAGAAGGAGGGAGAAGTCAATGGAAGATTACAGAGCCGTCTCCGTAGAAAAGAAGGGCTCTAAACAGGCAATTGGATTTGGTCCTTAGAAGGTCACTGGTGACGTCTGAGAAAGCAGGGAGTGACAGCATCAGCCTGAGGAGGGATGGGAAAGAGGGATGAGGAAGAGAGGCTGCGACAGTGGAAGTTTTTTTTAGGATAGAGAAAATCTGTGAGGGAGAAAGGGACACTGAAGATGCAATAAAGACTCTCCCCTTTTTCTATCCCAGATCTCACATCCTGGCTGAGCAAGACACAGAGTACTCCCGACCCCACCCCCCAAAATAGACGTTGGCTGGAAAATATTCTCACTGCTGGGGATGTTACAGGGAGAGGGGACATGAATTTTCCTCTAGGTGTTTGGTCACAAACTTTTCATCTCTTATTTCCTCCATCTTCCGTGAGGCTCTGAACACCTGACATTCCAATGTAGAAAAAATTTTTTTAATTCAAGTATAGTTGACATACAATAGAATGTGTACTGAATTTTACAAGCCAACTCCTGTATTTTAAACCTACAAGTTATTAGAGAGGTAAATATGATGACACATTATTGATTCTTACAAACACAGACTATACTTTGTATTTGATGAAATTCCCAGCGGCTAGTCATACCCCTCCCCCCTCATTGATATGTATGATACCTATAACATGGAGTTCCCCAAAGTGTGTGAATCAGGCAGAAATTCCGATGATGAAATCTGCTCCTCCCCATGTCAGGTCAAACACGGTCCTCAATTCTTCAGCTCTCTCGAGACTTGCTTGGGGGAACTAGTCAGTTATTATTCGGTGGAAACAGCAACCACGACAGTGGTTTCAAGATGGAAGGTGCTATGAAAGTGCTAATTATTAGTGGTTTTTTTGTTTGTTTGTTTGTTTGCTTGTTTGTTTCTGGCCATGTATTCAGATAGTCTTCAGCAGTGGCTCGCGAAGTGTGAATATCGGACAGCAGCCCCAGCAGCATCACCTGGGAAGCTGTCAGAAATGCAAGTTCCTCTCGCTCCAGACCTCCGGCCTCAGCAGCCAGGGGGTGGGGCCCAACCACGTGCGTCTCACCCTTGCACTCAAGGTGGGGCTGCGATGCGCTAAATTTTACACGCAGCCCCTTCCGCTCGGCGGCCCTGACCCAGCTGCATCACCCGGGGCTTCTTTAGAAATGCAAAATCTCCGGCTGCACCCCAGACTCGCTGCATCACAACCCTCAGTTAAACACGATCCCCGGGGCAGCGGAGTGTGAGAAACCCCGGGCTGTGTTACGGTGTCCGCATGATGTAATGAGGCCCTCTCCTCCAGTAAGTTAAAAACCTGACGGCCTAACCCGAGAAACGGTGAAATTGCCTTGAAACCTCCAGCCACCCCTCCACCCCCCGCCCAATGCGTCGCGCCAATTGCACGATTATCTTCCCGCAGCGGTGACAAGGCTCAGTGTCAGGCAGGGTAAAAGGGGAGATCCAGGAGGGGGAGACTCCGGGCGGGCGCTCTGCATTCCAGGTGGGCCCCAGGAGCAGGTGTGGCGGTAAGGCGCGAGGAGGGGGGCGACTTCCACGCAGGGGAGGGAGCTAAAGGGGAACTGGGGTGGGGTGCGCGCAGGGAACGCCGCGGGGGGCGGCTGGGGTGGGGGCCGGTTGCCCCGCCCGGGGCCCCGCGTGAGAGGGGGCACAGCCCCTCCCCTGGGGGGAGGCCGGCGGGCGGGGGGTCGGGGGCGGAGAGGGAGGTGGGTCCCGGGCCCGCGTGGGGGCGGGCGGCTCCACGGCTCCCCGCCCCCGGCCCGCCCCTCCGCGGCGCCATTTTGCAGGCGGCTGTCGCGGGGACCGGAGGCGGAGGCGGCGGCGGCTGGCACTGCGGCGCCGAGGCGCGGCAGCAGGACTGGAGACCAGCGAGCTGCAGCCAGGTGAGAGCCGGGCCGCCGCGCCCCCCGCCCGGCCCGCGAGCCGCACCTGCCGGGCCGGGCCACGAGGTGCCCGCCGCGCCCACGAGGCCGGCCTGGCACGGCCCCCGCGCGCTGTCACCGGCCCCGCGGCGCGGCCTGCGCCCCCCAAGCCCCGGCCGGTTCCCCGGGTCCCCGCACCCGCGGGCCAGGGTGGCCGCGGGGCCCGTGGATGCCCCGCAACCCCCCAGCCTCCGCCGCCCCACCGGGCCCGGTCTGGCCCCTGGGCGCTCACCCTGGCCGCCCGGGGAGACGCAGCGCGCTCGGGCCCTCAGGCCGCGCCGCCGGGAGGCAAGTGGGTCCCCCCGGGACCGGGCTGGCTGGCCGCCGCCGCCTTCTCCCGGGCCCTCGGCCCACGCGTCCTGGGGTCGCTCTCTCCTCGTCCCTCCCCGGGAGGTGCGCGCGGGCATCCTCGCGCCCCCCGGGATTCAGGGCCATCAAGAGGGCGGCGGGGGGGTGGTTTGCCTTGTACATTTTTTGCTTCCTTCTCTCCTACAAAGGCTGCGCCAAGTAATTTTAGAAGCTGCGGCTCCGACTCTAGGGCCTTTCTCTCAGGCCTGTTCCCCCGGGGGTCGCGAATTCCCGTTGTTGCTACCTTGCTGGAAGGAGAAATTGACGTTCTTAAGTGTAATTACTTTAAGGGCTCAGAATTTTCTCCTTCCTTTGACTCTGGATATACCCTTGAGTGGGTAGCTGACAGGAACTCGGCCTACAGTCTGGGGGTTTTAAGCATGACTGATGAGAAATTGATTGTCAGGGTAAAGGGTAAATGAGGGCAATTGCAGGTGGAAGAAAGTCACCCATAAGGGATTTCTAGGTCTGGGGTGTCAGCCGCGGCTGTTACTTTTATTCCTGCAATGCTGGAAGTTGGGAGGGGGAAGATGCTGCCCCTGCTGACGTTTGGGTGTGCTGAGGAGGCCGGTGATGTGCGAGGACGCGGGACCGGGAGTCCCGAGGCAGTCTGGTTTGAGCTGTCATTAATTGGCCATGTGACTTCTCGCGGCCAGTTTTCTTCCTCTCTAAAGCCAGAGACAAGAATCAGGGGTAGCTGAAGCTTTTTTATTTTTATGTTTTTGCATTTGAATGCTGTTGGGCTGGGGCCTCACTGTTTCCAGTTGTCTACACCTGCCTTTTTAGCTTAGCACATGACTTTTCCCTGAATAGCCCTGGAGGTGTTGGATTCGGGTGAGATTTATAAAGGGCCTTTCTGCTCAGACATTCTGAATTCTGTCCTGGGTTATGGTTGGCTGTCTCAGGATCACTTGTGAACCTGTCACTCGTGGTCTCTTTTCCCTTACCAGAATTTAATAGCTTTTGGGCACCAGCCTCTTAAATGGCTGGCAGTGGGGATGCAGTGGAAGGCCTCCTAGCACACCTGGTAGTTGAAAGGAGGTGAGCAGGTGTGTCTAGCCCAGCTACCTGTTTCACCTGACAGCCTGAGCGTGAGCTATCTGCTTTCTAGACCATTTCCTTTGTCAAAATGGCGACCGGCTTCTTTCTTTGAATTCCAGGGCATTTCTCTTGGATTTTTTTTTGCTCTGAGTGGGGCGTGATTTTTTTTTTTTTTTTTAAAGGAAAGGTATTTCAGGAACTTTATATATTGATGTTTTTTCCCCCCCTTTTTCACATGGTTGCATGGCAGTTGTATTTTCTGACTGGCAAAAGTTAATTAAGCTGAGTTTTAATGTTTCTTAGGTTGTTTCAAAAATGCTTATGAAAGTACTTGGGTAGAATATTGGAGAGGGTCTTGCTAGGTTTCATGCCAGCTGCACTGCCTGTCGCATTTGTGCAGCAAAGCCTAGAGGTCTTAGTCCTGCAGGAGTTAGATCTCACAGGAGCAAGCTCACATAGCCTTCCATTAGTCCATCAGCTAATTTGGTGTCAGGTGCTGTTGAACAAATAATTGTGAAATCACACTCAGTCTTCTGCCCTTAAGAAGGCCAAGGTCTGGGGTATTAGAAATCCTGAGTTGGCTATTGCCCTCCTGTTCAGTGTCTCTAAAGACAAACCTGGGATCCTCTTGGGGATTCCTTTCTGGCACCACTGGTATCTTGAGGAATTTTCCCATTTTGCTTAAGGGAACTAAAAGTCAGCATCATAATTTGCAATTACATAGTGCTTTGTACTTGTAAATGAAAGCTTTTTAAAAACTTATTTTTATTTAATCCTCTTAGGCTTTTTTTTAATTTAAACATTTTACAGTCCTTCCCTGACCTGTTTCCGGGCCTTGCCTATATAACTCCCAACACACTAGTCTGTTCCCAATGCCAGATAACCTCATTAACTCATTTTTTACTCCCTGCTGTTCTTCCAGTTATTCTCTCCTCAGAGGGCTGCCGGTCTGGGCTTTTATTCTTTTGCTAGAGAACATTCCTGCTCCAGGTTAAGCTGTGGCTGTACATTATTGACTTAGGATTTAAAGGAGCTCTGTGTGTGCTTTATGGCACTGTCTTCTTTTTCTCCCCAGCTTTGCTTTTTCTAGCCTGTTATTTTGTCACAGGTTCTATACTGACTGTCAAATCATGGAGGTTTGCTTGCAGCTTCTACTTTTCACAGGACTTTGACATATTTAGTACATTTATTGAGAACCTGCTGTGGGCCAGGCAGTGTTTTTGGTGCTCTGGTTGCTGCATGGAGATTCTCTGCCCTCATGGAGCTCACACTCTTGGTGAGGTGGCAGACAGAGATTTCATGCCCTGAAGAAGAATCTGGCAGGATTGAGGGTACTAAGTGTTGACATTGAAGCTGAAATTTTAGGAATGATAGACAGGAAAGCCCTGAGTCACCTCTGAGTGAAGATGTGAAGGAAGTGAGTCATGTGGATATCTGAGGGCAGAACATTCCCAGTTGAGGAAGCAGCAGGTGCAAAGGCCCTGAGGCAGAAGGAGAGCATTTGGTTTTACGGTCAAAGAGACCGTGGGAATTGAATCATGTAAGGCCATGTGACAGTAAGGCTTATGGATTTTACTTTGATGGGAATGGGAGCCGATGGAAGGTTTTGAGTAGAGGGGACATTGACCTAGGTTTTAACAGGGATGTGCTGGTTATTACTGTTTGAGAATCAACTAGAAGCAGGGAGGGCGGGGCAGCACTGTGTCCTCCTGGGTGAGGGCTGAGGGTGGTGGTCAGACCAGGGTGACGGGAGGGGATTCTGAGGTGGGGCTGAGGAGATGCTGATGGACCAGATATGTGAGGGGAGGATAGTGGTGTACCAAAGAGAGTTGAGGGCAGTGTCCAAGTTTCTGGCCTGTGCACTTAGAACAAAAGGAACCCAAGGTGTCTAAGGTAACAAAGGGCACGGTGGCCAACCTGACAAGCCCAAATGCAGTCAGAAAGGGAGGGAGTGGGTGTTTGGGGGGGAGCTCCTCCTTCACGGAAATGTAAATCTTTTGGGGCACTTCTGTTGTCCGTAGTCTTAATTCTCTCCTCTGACCTCGGCAAGTCCCTGACCTCAGGTGTAGGTGGCTTCTAAGGCCCTCTGAAGACGTACTCCATGAAGGAGAGTTCCATCTACTCACTATTCAATAGCCCTTTCTTGCACCCCTTCAGTGTTATGCATGTTATGCAGGCCTAGAATCTAAAGATAGCACAAAAAGCAAAGAGCTGGATTCATCAGAAATGACCTTTGAAAATTCCTATTTCCCAGGAAGTGTGGCAGGCATGAGCTGCTCATAACAGTTTGTACCGAAACATCTGAGTCTGTGAATGTGATGAACACAGGTGAGAACCGTGGCTAATTTCACAGAAGATCATATTTGGGACTTGGTCCAGTGTCCTCACTGCCGGCCACTGCTCGGAAGCTTTAGGTCGCAGCCCCAGACCCTTCTGCTGGCCATCGTTTGACTGCAATTCTTACTCACCATTTCTCTGCAGCCTCAGTGAGGGGGTCCCGGTTGCCTTGGGCCATTGCTCGCCTGGCCGCCCCAGACCATGGCTTTCTCTGGTCACTGGTCAAGAAAGCCTTCTTCATCCGCAGTTCTTTCCATAGGTTCTGCCCTCGGGTCTGTCGCCTTGGGGTGCCTCTGAAGCCCGCTGGAGGCTCACCCATCCTGGCAGCCACCTCCCTCTCAGTTCACTCTGAACATGAGTCTTACAGGGCTGAGTCCCCCCATCTTCTAAGATGAATGTGAGTGCGGTTTAACAAAGCGCACTTCTTGTCCGGGAGCCTCTCCAGGCAATAGAAGGGACCCGAGAAAGACTGGGCGGGGGCCCCCAGGAGCTTGTGCCCATGCAGATGGGCTCAGTGCTGAGCACTGGACATCAGTATGGTTAGGCAACTGGCAGGTAGAGGCGTCCTGGGCTGCATTTTATTGATGAAGAAATTGGAGTTTGGTTAACTTACCTGAGTTAACTCCTCCTGGGTCTTGATTTCTCCTCTTCAGCTCCAGTAGTCCAGGGATAGAATGCTTTTCCCAGGTTTTGTCTGAAACTCTGGGTTTGTAAGTCTCTGTTGGCATAGAAGAGGGTAGAGAAGCTAGAGTTGGGTGCCAGGTGCTCTGCCAGCACCTCCTGTGATCACGAATGTCCTTTGATCATGGCAGCCCGGGTGATGGCCATTATTCTGGTTCCCACTTCACAGCTGAGGAGGCTGAGGTCGGGATCATTCTTGCTTTGTACCCCCATCTTTCTCTTATCTGGCCTGTTTTTCATTCCCAGCTATGGTGTTCCTCTGTGTACCCCAGCTTGGTCCTTGGCTCCTCCTTTTTTTTTTAAACTTTTTTTGTTTGTTTGTTTGTTTTTGTTTTTAAGTAATGTCTACACCCAGCACCCAACATGGGGCTTGAACCCACAACCTCGAGATGAAGAGTTGTACACTTCACTGACTAAGCCAGCCAGGCGCCCTGGGTCCTTTGTTCCTTCTGTTAGTTCTCCCTGGCATCTCCTGTAGGAGTCTTCTGCAAGCCCCACCCCAATCTCAGCACACAGTCCCTTCTTTTACTTGGTCTCCCTTCAAGGTGGCATCC